CTATTTATTTATGCATTAAGCATTTATTTATTTATTTTTCTATTAAATTGACATCCACATTTCAGGCTCAGTGCTGACTAAAACATGCAGCTCAAATAGGAAAGCTCAAACCTGTTGTATTATTGTGGTCTGGATTTAGCCAGCCAATAAATCAACAATATTAAAGGAGCACTGTATTCTTGACACTTTGACACAACTGCAAGCTAGCCTGGCTGACATTTCTTTGTCAGTGCTGAATGACAGTGATGTTTTCAAGAAACATTGATTGGGATATTTGGAGCAGTCCACTCTGATCACAGTTGTCAGAGGCGAGCAGTGGAGATAGGCCACTGCTGATCTGCTCTGCACTGACAATGTCTCCCTACACTAAGTCCAAAATCAATCTCTAATTGAACGCTCCAACAACAATCCATACTGTCTCTAAACCCAAGTGACCACCCAGCTACATCATTACTTCATCAACATGTGCTTTTCTACAGCTGTCACAGCACACAGCTGGACTGTGGTCAAATGAGACTTTAGTGTTTGGGATATTCCCAAAACCTTCATATTAGGGCTTGAAGTTCTCCAGCACTTTCTCAGAATCCCTTTGCCGGACCATTTTTGATTTGAAAATAGATAATTATATTGAGGTAGTTATATGCCCATGAAAAATATTCTGAAACATATTCTAATGTTTGTATATGTATCTCTACAGCCATTCAAAACACAGATCTTTATATTATATTATATTATATTATATTATATTATATTATATTATATTATATTATATTATGTTATTGAGTGGACCTATAATAAAATATAATAAACCTTTGTTTACACTGTGGCTCTGCAAACTGTCAGCTCAGTAATTAACATGTCCATGCTAAGGTGAGAGACCAGGCCATTTTTAGAGACCAGTCCATAGCAATGACAAAAGTTGTGTTCAGCTACACTAAGCTAACTAGCTGCAAGATGCTTAGTAATGTCATTACCAAACCAGAAATAGAAGATCCTCCAATAACCTACAGGTTTGTTGTTTGGAGCCACTTTGGGCTCTCTGTGAATTATGAGGCGAGAGAGAGTGGTGGATAAAAATCAACGGTATGTTGCGTCACACAACAGGAGGTTACATCAGTGGGAATACTTCAAACATGTCAACTCATTTACACTGATATCACCCCAGTGTGTCAATAGGTGGAACTAGACGAAAACAACGGGGAGCACAAGCTACAAGCTAATGTTGTCCTGACAGGGTTTAGGGCAGCCATTCCCAACTGATTCAGACAGGGCAAATGAAATCACCACAGGGACTTGTAACATTACATTTATAGCTGCGATATGTGACTTGACTTGAGAGAAAATATAGGCTCTACAAATTTTGCTTAATGCATTCAAGCTCCATTACACTACTCCTTCATGAGCCCATTTCAGACAGACCATAATTCCTGCCTTGTACAAAAAAAGCCCAAATTATGATGTTAGTTTTTATTCATGAAAAAGGACATTTTGGCATTTCAGAAACAGAACTGCTTCTGTTGTTTGCATTTGTTTATATCTTAATATTTTTTTCAAGGGGCCATTTTTATTCTATATGCTGCTAAGAAGACACCCCAGAAGAAGCACTCAGGTATAGCTCTGTCATTGTTCAAAGTAAAAAACAAAGCACTATACTTAATGATTTAGTTTTTATACACATTTTGAAAATCAAGAAAAATTTTACATTTTTACTGTGTTGAAAACGTACTGAACCGTGAACAGGACTGTGAATTTTATGAACTGCTACACTACTAGTTTATAACTATTTACAGACTCTGTGGGCTAAAATGCACAAGAAGCCTACTTCGCCTTTACAATGATTTACTACATGTTTGCAATCATTAAAATATGCAATAGTTAAGATCAGATATGATAGAATACTGCAGAGGCCACCAAATTTGGGCTTTAACAGCCCCCCCTAGCTCCTTGTGGAAAGCCTTGCATCTTATATCAGTACAAGGTAAGCTATTGCTAACAGCTTTTTGGAGTGATGATTGTGCATGTAAATGATATGCCAATTTTTTTTCTTTTTGTGAATCCCCTTTCCCTCAGTTTTTTCACCTGGAACAGAAATGCTCCTTTTCCTTAAAGTCCTGTTATATTCAGTAAAGAGTCAAAACTAATCCTATAACATCCTAAATATCCGTGTGTGCATGTTGAAATGTACCACATGTGTTGTTTGCAGAAAAGTGGGATGTCAACATTTTCTTCTGGCATCGGAGCTGTTAAATGCATTCCAAATTTGATAGCATCATGTGATAACTGAATATTTATGCATATGATGACAATTTACCCAAATGCTGGCAATATAGATCTGGATTCCAGCTGTTAAATTCTCATTATATGTATGTTAAGTTTTCTGTGGAGTAAAACACATTTAATGTTTCCATATAAATTTCTATTTGAAGTTTTAATTCCTTCTGAACTCATCTTAATAGAGGCATTATTTTTTTTCTTATGTTGCACAGGAAACCAAACGGCCCAGTCTGCCATCGCTCAACATGGAGTGTAATACATTTGATTTGAAACTTTACTGAAAATGATCTGAAATTACAGCAATTCTGGATTATTCTTGTTTAAACAATATAGATGATGTCATAGAATGGAAAATAAACTGCACTAAAAAATCTGTTTTTCCTAATTCCAAGTCTACTGCATTGTAAGTCAAGGACAGCCAGGTGAGGGCATAAAACAAATGTATCTGCACACATGTAAAACATTGTGTGCAGCAGCACCAGGAATTCCAAACAACAAAAACATGGCACGCTAGCCTTGTGCTCCTAAAATAGACAGTCATTGTAAGTGGCAGTGCCTTTTATTCTCTGCTGGGTGGTTAACTTCCTCATATTATGGAAGGGTCTAAACACAGATCTATTTCCCCGACAAAACCAGAGACTGCCAGCAGAATCCTCACTTTGGGAAAACACACCATCACACAACAAAAGCAGATAACTCATCAGATTGTGAGGAGGTCTGTGAATGTCAGGGTGTTGCAGTGCATATATTTGTTCTCATCTAATTCCAGCAGATCACAAAGATTTAAAAATATATTAATGGCCTTCCCTAACCCCTAACCCTAACCTGTCTATGGAACGGAATAGAAGGCTATGGAATGCACATTTCATGACAAAGGTAATGGTATCTTATGAAACTAGACATCCTAAGGCATCCACTGGTAAAAACAAAGTTGGTGTGGCTTGTGGGGTGGGGGCTACATAAAGCTACAGTTAGGCTAAGTTTTGTAGAGGGAACAACTAGCATGGCCATTTTCAAAGGGTCCCATGAACTCTCACCTCAAGATATCTTAATAAAAATGGGTTCTATGGGTACCCATGAGTCTCCCCTGAATTTGAGAAGGCTTGTTCCCAGTAAGAGTTTTGTTCTTTACGGTCAAAGTACTGCTTCAAATTAAAGCTGTATGTGTATCTTTATGAGGAAAAAGAACAACCATCCAATTTGAAGACCAATGAACTGCCTAACATACAGATCCATAACACATTTACACAGGATAGTTTTGGAACTCAAATGTTAACTGTACCGGTATTAGTCTATTCACATCAGACAATGGGAAACATTGAATGTAAAACAAGAAAACATAGTATATCAGTGTGTGATTCCTTAACTCTCCTTTACTGACAGAGTTTTCAACTAACCTATATACTTCAATAGCATAATCGAATTCCTGAAATTCAGTTATAGCTTTTAGTTTTGGTGTGCCACCCCAAGATTTTTAGTGGTCCCATCTGGAGACCCCTATGAAAAATTTCTGAGGGGGCCACTGGGTGACATGCGTGTGCACTGTAGTCATGTGCCTTTGTTTGGCCCCTTACAGATGGACTGTGCACATACAATGGTTTTGCTGGGTTTTTTTTAAAAAAATATCGAAGACTTATTTTCATTTAACTTTGTCCATCATTCCTATCAGTTTAAGATTTTACTCAGCAGATTTATTGCTGATGTATAGTATGGGGTCACGAGACACTTGGAAGCTTTACAACTGAGTGCACTGTTTTCTGTGTATAGAATTAATTCAGCAGGACTATTTGTACAAACAGATTTTTTTTATTGGTTTTTCAGAGTCAAAGCTGAGCCTTCCACAGAATTTTACCCACTAATGGGCCTTGGGACTTGTTTATGATAAAAAAGTAAAATCACAAGTGATCTCTGATGTGAACAAGGGTTGTTATTATTAGTTACTGATGTCTAAAATGTATCAAAGAATTTTAGTTACTCTGAAACAGTCAGTACGTTTACATGACAGAAAAAAAAATTGATTTATTGGGTTAATCCAACTACAACTGGACTTTTAAAATACATGTAAATGTTAGTCCGACTGAAATCATACTAAATCAAATTTGTCAAAGTCAGACTAACACACCCAGGTAATGTGATTGGAGTCAAATTCTTCCTGCATGTATACAATCAATCAGATCCAAACTGGCCTAAGTGCTCTGTGCATGCTCCACAGTTTCCGCCCTGCTTCAACCCAGAAGTCAAATAGCATTAAATGTGTAACAGACGAAGAGACCCGTAACAACATGGTGAAATCTACATCCAGAATCGTACGTTTTTGGACAGACGAGGAAACACAGTTCATGCTGTGTCAGCTAAAAGAGTTATATATTTGAAAAGGCATGGATGGGAGGAACACAAAATGGTGGCCTGTTCAAAAATGTGGCTAAACAGCTGCACGACACTGGATTTAAAAGGATGCCTGAGCAAATCCATGTTCGGTGGAAGCACCTAAAAGAGGCCCGATCAATAAAGCGATTCCCCTACCGTACTTGTGTACTGGGACAAGAACAGTCATCTGATCACTGTGCATGTACACCTAGTGACTGTGACTGGAAAACAAAACATTTTCAACTTTTGGAAACACTGGAGTCCATGGGCATGTAATGTGGTAAATTGTCATTAACTGATTGATTGAAGGACATATTAGAGAATGCTGGGAAAAAAGCACTAAAGTGGAAATCACTTACCTCGTTTCTGCATGAAACTGAAAAGGTCATCAAGAAACTCTTTGCGTTTTTCATCATCATCCAGTTCATATAACTGAAAAAGAAAGAAAAAAATCAATTACTAATGTCTTCAACATTTTCACCAAAGAAAATCAAGAACATGTTTGATCAGGGTTACAGTAGGTGAGGAAGCCTTTGAGTCTCCTGAATACTGGGGTTGTTTAGTATTATGGCCAACACAGACGAGGACAATGAGTTCCTTAAAGACAATCCCTGAGTAACCTTGAGCACAGTGAGTGTATCACACAGCAGCTACTGATCAGCAACACAGATAACCTGGTACACACACCTTCAACACAAAGACAGACAGTGCCATGCTGGTGCTAGAACAATATCAGGAAAATGTTTTTTAGCCCTGAATAGCTTTTTCACATCTGGGCGCCTTAGAGAGGTATGTTTTTGTCAGCTCTAAACAAATGCCCATCAGCCTTTATATTTAACCCCTTCAAAAAGTTGTGCAGACACAATCACTGAGCACAAACACACAATATAGTAACATTAATTAATTTAAAGTCCTGTGCAAGGTTGTTTTAATATTTCCTCCACCTCTCTTTATATACATAGGGAGCAAAATAAATGCCTTCATGATAGAATGAAATCAAAGCAACACTATTAAAAACTACAACTTCAAAAATGACACTTAAGGTGTTACCAACAACTGATCGCAACAGACTAACTTATATTTCTGTTGTGATGGAGATTTCAATCTGTAAATGAGTCTGTTCATGTGCCTGCATTGATTAAATTTCAAAGAAAAAAGTGAATTCCAGCACACACTTATCACCTCTGCATTAATGTTTTAAAAAGTGTCGGCCACTTTTTAAATAAATCAATAAAAAGGTGATCAGTTTGTGCAGGAATTCACTTCTTTAAAATTTGTTATTCAAGGGATTTGATTCCTTGCATCACAATGGAAATAAAGCAAGTGCATGTTGCTTTCCACTCTTTCACTCTTAAACCAAATTAACTGCAAAGGTGGAATTCACACCTGCCATTTCATGTCAAATTTCTCCAACATTGCACTGTGCTGCTTGATCAGAAAAAAACAGAACATCAACAAAAATGACACTGCCACTGTATTTTTACTACTTTTTCCACAGTTTTAAGTGTTCTGCACTGTACTGGGGCTGCGCAATTAATCGAAAAACCAACATTCACAACCTCTAACGGATGTAATCTTGCCTATGTCAGTAAAGTGTAAACACTGTGGAAAAAAACGTTTCAGCGACCAAAAGTAATACTACCAATTGGTTTCAGCACTTGGAGCACAATCGTGTTACCAGATATGAACAGTACATGGCTCAAAAAAACAAGAAAGAGACTGATAAGCACCCAGCAATGAGTGCCTCCACAAAGCAGCTCTTGATAACACACACTATAACAAGCTTTAATAGTTGAGCATTTTTAGAGTATAAACCTTGCCAGTGAACTACGAGGGGGAAAAAAAAAAAAAAATCATTCATTAATCGTAATCGAGGTAAAATGTTCAATTAATGGTGATGTTGATTTGAGGTCATATTGCCCAGCCCTAGCACTGATGTAAAGAAGAAAGTAGTTTAACCTCCTGAGACCCTACCTACCTACCTGAGAACCTTCTTCTAGGAGGACATTACATTTTGGGTTTGCTATACTTTATACTTAATTTTGCTTAACTTTGACCTGTGGTCCTCATTTGTGGACACTTTTTTGTGACATCTAGTGGTAGAAAGAGCACAGTGTGCTGATCTATGTAAAAACAAGATGGCGGCTAACTCTGCCAAAACCATCTACAGCTAATTGCAACACAAAAGTGGACAAGGTATAAAATCTGATCAAATGTTATGGTTGAGACTTGTTTACTTATGCTGAATAACATCTGCAGTTTGATATATCATACAAATTTGACCAATTTTAGCAATAGTAACAAGGTAAGACAAGGACATAACAACTTAATTATTGTATTATTGCAGCATTTCACACAGGCCAATTAGGTGTGACAGACTGTTCCTACAGACAAAAGGGACATTCCTATCATAGAATATAGAGCAATTTTGGTTTTAAACAACCATGTCTAGACATTGAAAATAACAGTTTTAGATTTGAATAGCAACCCCTAACTCATAGTGTCACAAAACTGTGACATTTTGTAAATTTGTAATTTTGCTTTTGCACAACAATGTTCAGGCATTGAAAGTTTTATAGTTTCATGTAATACATATTTTTCTTATACTTGTATACTTTATTACACACAAGTAACCAAGTGGCAAATGACCTGACATTGATAACAACGAATAAGCTGGAATCCCGGCACCCTGAACCCAATTGCCAAGGCTAAGTGACAAAGTACCCTCTAAAAGTCTGCTAGGTGATGGGAATGCAGTACTATGTACTATCCCCACTAGGACCATGACTGAGACGAATCAGTTGATAAACACCACAGCAACAGTGATCCTAGAGAAGCTTGGCAACAAGATGAACACTATGAGCCACAAAGAGCATTACCCTGCATGGAAAAGGAGGCTGTAGGCCAAGATCAAGGCGACACTGAGAGAGGTTAGTCAGCTCTCTACAGAAAGGTGTGGGGAAAAAAGGGATACCAAGAAAGTACAACTGTCTATACCTGAGGCACTGGAGACTGCCAAGCAAAGGCTCACAGCTCTGGCAACCTGCCTAAAAAGATAGACAAGAGAAGAAGAAGCCAGGGGAATAAATAGGATGTTCTCCACCAAGCCATCCAAAGTTTACTCTCAGTGGCAGGGTAACAACATGAGAATAGATCCACCCAGGGCTGAAATGGAACAATACTGGAAGAGCATATGGGAGAAAGAGGCATCACCTGATACCAATGCTAAGTGGCTAGTGGATCTAAGAGCAGACCACTGCAATCTTCCAGAACAAGAGCCAATTACCATTGCAACAGCAGACATCCAAGAAAGAGTATCAGGTATGAAGAGCTGGACAGCACCAGGCCCTGACATGATCCACACCTAAAGAGAGGCTAAAGAAACTAACTGCACTCCATGAACACCTGGCAGCACAAATGAACCAGCTGCTGATGGATGGGACCCATCCAGAGCATTTGAGCCAGGGACAGATAATCCTGATCATAAAGGATCACCCAGAAGGGCGTGGTTCCATCCAACAAACGGACAATAAGTTGCCTCTGTACAACATGTAAGCTCCTGTCACGCATAATAGCAGTTAAGATGAATAGGCACATGGCCCAATACACGAGCAAGGCCCAGAAAGGAATTGGTAGTAACACCAGGGGAGCCAAGCACCAGCCACTAGTGAATAGCGCAGTTGCCCAAGGCTGAAAGACCAGGCAGACCAACCTGTGCACTGCCTGGATCGACTACAAGAAAGCCTACAACTCAGTGAAATACACATGAATGCTAGAATGCTTGGAAATGTTCAACATCAACAGGACACACTAAGAGCCTTCATCAAGAACTCAGTGGGACTGTGGAAAATGACTCCTGAAGCCAACTCAAAGCCAATTGCACAAGGCCGGACCCCCTCAGCCAACTCAACACAAAGAGTGGCTACAGATACCAGTTCCAAAGTGGAGCAACTATCAGTCACCTCCTCTACACTGATGACATCAAGCTGTGTGCCAGAAATGAGTGAGACATCGACTGATCCACCTCATCAGGATCTACAGCAATGACATCGGAATGTTATCTGGACTACATAAGTGTGGCCGGATGGTGTCAAGGAGAGTGAAGATGTTCATAACAAAGGGGGTTGAAGTACCAGAAGGCAACATTACAGATGTTCAGGACAGCTGCAAATACCTTGGGGTCCCACAGGCATATGGGAACCATGAGGAGGCCACAAGGAGGTCAGCCACAGCCAAATATCTACAAAGAGTAAGTAAGTAAGTAAGTAAGTAAGTAAAGGCTAGCTGAATGGAAGGAACAAGGTCCGAGCCATCAACACGTACGCCCTGCCAGTCATCAGATACCCCACTGGTAAAATAAGCTGGCCAAATTAGAGGCCACTGATATCAAGACAAGGATGCTTCTCACAGTGCATGGAGGGTTTCATCCCAAGGCCAGCACCCTAAGACTGTACAATCAGTGAAGTCAGGGAGGCCAAGTACTGGTGAGCATTAGAGCCAATGTCCAGAACAAAACAACCAAGACCCAGGAATAGATCAGGAAGATGGCCCAATGATGAGCTGCTAAGTGAATACCTCAGGCAGCAGAATCCTGAGAATGCAGAAGAGGAGCATGAACCATCATGGAAGTACAAGCCCCTGCACAGCATGTACCACCGACAGATTGAAGAAGTGGTCAACATCAAGAAATCCTACCACTGGCTGGAAAAGGCTGGACTGAAAAACAGCACAGTAGCACTAATAATGGCAGAACAAGAACAGGCACTCAGTACTAGATCAATAGAAGCAGGGGTATACCACACCAGACAGGACCCCAGGTGCAGGCTGTGCAAAGATGCCCCTGAGGCAGTCCAGCACATAATAAGAGGGTGTAAGATGCAGGCAGAGAGAGCGTACATGGAACGCCATAACCAACTGGCTGGCATAATGTACAGGAACATCTGCATTGAGTTTGAGCTGGAAGTCCCAAGGTCAGAATGACACCTCCTAAGGTGGTTAAGAATGACCAAGCTAAGATCATGCGGGACTTCCTGTTCCAGACTGACAAACTGCTGATGGCTAACCAACCGTGTTGATCGACAAACAACAGAAGAAGGCAGTGGTGATAGATGTAGCAATCCTGAGCAACAGCAACATCAAGAAGAAGGAACACCAGAAGCTCGAAAAATACCAAGGGCTGAAAGAGGAGCTAGAAAAGATGTGGGGAGTGAAGGCAACAGTTGTGCCAGTGGTAATCGGAACACTCAGGGCTGTGACTCCCAAACTGGAAAAGTGGCTCCAGCAGATTCAAGGTACAACATCTGAGGTGTCTGTCCAGAAGAGTGTGGTCCTAGGAGCAGCTAAGATACTGCACAGAACCTTCAAACTCCCAGGCCTCTGGTAGAGGAAGACACACCACCACCCCCATGGAGGGTGAGAGAGGGGGATTTTAT